TCATTAAGTAAAAGATAATGTACACTATATTTGCATGAAAGTACGATAATACAAAAAATTGTTCATGATGACAAAATATTTTTCCTATCGTTTCCTTCTTAGAGAAATAAAATTAATATTAATATATTATAATAAATTATAATAAATTTCTTTCAAAGGAACTTGCTTCGTATTTGGTGTAAAATTCTTGAAGTCAAATGTCTGTTTTTAGTTATCATCTTCCTGAATTCGCTTACAGATAATGTCTTAGCAAAATTAACAACCAGTTAACGTCATTTTCCCACATTAATTTCGATAACAACAAAAAAACATTATTTTACATCCTTTGCTACTATGTAACTTCAACTGACCTGTTTCCATTCTCCTACATCACCTGTATGCAACCAGCCATCATCATCTAACATTTCAGATGTTTTGTCAGGATTTTAAGATATCCCTTGAAGACATTTGGACCATAGACACATATCTTAAAAACAAAAATCATTCTTTCAATGCACAATCGTAACATAACATTAGCAAAGTAGAAAATAAAAAACAAGATTCGTTACTTCGCCTTGATTGTTTGAAGTAAAATAGTTCATTTCTGGTACATCAACAAGTTTCACATAGTTACAGGCACTAGGTGATCCAACGTGACCTATAGGTACATACATGGATAAAATATAGTCACCTGTTGGTATAGACATGTATAAGATAGGGTCACTTATAAGTATACAGATGGATAAAATATGTTGAAAAATTCCTAGTGAGTTATTCACTCTATATTGTGTAAAATACTTAGGAAAACATTGTACCATTATTAATTAGAAATGATTACAAAAACCTGGACATGACTACAATAATAGCGCTATCAACTGCAGGGCCTGGTACCTACGTAGATAATATGAATGGGGTTCATAGGTAATTGTGACAATCTAACAATAGAAATGAACATTAAGTGTTCACTTTTTAGCTCATTTTCTAGGATATTATAGTTCATTGTACATAAATAAAAGATGACAAAACACTTCAAATCAATTCTTCCGACCCAGGCCCCACACAACCTTACTTAGGTCTTAATGTCTTAATATTGACTTTCTCAACGTTTACAATATTACATATTAAATGAAGTACCCCAGAAGTGTTTATACGTAAATACGTAGTACCTGGTGAAAGATCAAGTTTATTTGTCAGCGAAACAAGTGCTGTAGACTCAGTCTGACCATAACCTTCAAAAATCTTAACACAAAGAGAAATAAGATGTAACCATGGTAACACAGTTGAAACGTGATGTCATAAATAAATACGAACCAAACATCCAAGAACGACTCTTAAAAACTCTAAAACTTTACCATCAATAGGAGCAGCACCTGTGAGAATGACATTTACATTTCCACCTAAAATTGCCTGTAAAGAAGAAAGTTGTCAGTTAGTTTCAATACCAGTCCCCCGAAAGAATGACGGCGAGTGACCGGGGCAGCAAATGTAATTTACAATTCATTGGCCAGGTGAGAGTAAAACAATTAGCGGGAGATATAAGGAAAATCACTGATCTCAATATCCTTGAAACATGATAAAAGCTTTTTTAATGAAACGAATTAAGTGTTTTAAGAGTATAAAAATGCTGACGTAACGGGGCCTCATCGGTGACGTAACGGGCTCTTACCTGTGACGAAGCAAGCCCCCACCAGTGAAGTAAATGGCCCTCACTAATGACGTAACAGGTGGTCACCGGTGACGTAACAGGTAGTCACTAGTGACGTAACAGCCTGTCAGTTATATCGTACCTGAATTTTATGAAAAACTAATTTGTCCCAAAATGTATTTTTGGAGATTTGACCTCTAAAGTGAAAATAAATATATTTAGATTTTCATAATGGTCTTAAAGCTATTTCATTCATTATTGAATACTTTTTCAAGTCCGCTCTCTTCGACTCAAAAGCCTTGTAAAACAGCCATTTTTTTAAGCCACTGCTACTTTCAATAGTTGATATAACCTGCAGAATTAAAATCACAGACAAATGAGCACAACAAATCTTTCACACAAACAAACAACGATTGCCTACATTGAATAACCTTATCGTAAAGACGGTTTAACAAACGAGGAACTGAAGCGAAGAATGTCGGCCTAAAAAATCAATCAGACATCATATTGTATGATTTACAGTGATCCACAACAAGTGAATGAATTTCAAGAGAATTACCTCAATAACTGGATGTCATCCAAAAGAAGTTTCACATCACCACGAAAGAACCCAGCTCGACCTCCAGCACAGCAAATAATCATCTACAAATGACGACGGCGTAATACAAAAATCTGTAGCTTAAAAGAACAACTTAAACCAGGAAGTAAAATATTTTTCAGTTACCATAACAAGTCTCTCGTACATGTGAGGAAGCGGAAGATAGGATATGTGAACAAAGCTTGAATCCACTGGGTAGCCATTCTAAAGACGAAAGTATGGAGAAATTGAAACTAAAGAACACAGCAAAGATACTATCTTCATTTTACTAAACCTTCTCAAAATGTATAAAAGTTGCAGCGAGGCAGGATATCATGTTCTTGTTGCTCAACATCACTCCCTTTGGTTGTCCTAAAATGAACGTCATAACCAAAGTTCAATATACGTACCACTGGTGAAACTACAAGAGAATTACCTGGGGTACGACTTTAAAATCAGGGCGGATCAAAGGGCAAACCCTCCACCCCCTAACATATTTAGAAAAATAATTAAAAAATTATTTACAAAAATGCTAATATTTACATACAATGTTTCAGCAAAAGCGCTTTAAACGAAATATATTTTCTACAACGATTTCCTTGCAATGACGAATCGTTACAAACATGTTGTTTCATCAAATGAAGGCTTTATTTCCTTAGAAAAATGACTTTGCTTTTTGCAGGTGCTCTCATAACCGTGTAGCTACTGGCGATAGCAAATTACTCCCTACTTTCATCCGTCCCAAGGTAAAACTACACATAAATCTTACCTGTGGTACCACTTGTGAAACAAATTGTGTAAACATCGTCAGGTTTAGCAGGCTGAAATAATTACTCCCTACTTTCATCTTCCCCAAGGTAAAACTACACATAAATCTTACCTGTGGTACCACTTGTGAAACAAAATGTGTAAACATCGTCAGGTTTAGCAGGCTGAAATAATTACCACTTTCATCTTCCCAAGGTAAAACACATAAATCTTACCTGTGGTACCACTTGTGAAACAAATTGTAAACATCGTCAGGTTTAGCAGGCTGAAATAATTACTCCCTACTTTCATCTGTCCCAAGGTAAAACTACACATAAATCTTACCTGTGGTACCACTTGTGAAACAAATTGTGTAAACATCGTCAGGTTTAGCAGGCTGAAATAATTACTCCCTACTTTCATCCGCCCCAAGGTAAAACTACACATAAATCTTACCTGTGGTACCACTTGTGAAACAAATTGTGTAAACATCGTCAGGTTTAGCAGGCTGAAATAAATCACCACAAAATCCCATTATTTTGAACAAATACATAATTTTTAAAACAAAGAAGAAAAAATTGCCCAGAAAAAGATAACATACAGACATTTTCCAAGGATTCCAGTGTCCCATTAACTAAAACATAAGAAATGAACACAAATCATTAAGCATGACAAATTGTTGTACTTAATTAACCAAATCCAACAAAGAATTCTTACTAAATTAAATGAAGATATGATCTTCGCACTTTGTTGGACAATTTAAGCAATCGTCTCAGGATGGGTTCGAATCCCGTTGAGTCACCTGATTTTTTCAGGTTCCTGAGACGATTGCTTAAATTGTCCAACAAAGTGCGAAGATCATATCTTCATTTAATTTCAAACACCGCACTGCATAAAACATTCAAAAGAATTCTTACCATAACATCTTCAAATGACTTTACAGTTATTCCAAGTTTTTTAAAGTTTTCTCTCTCGTCCTTTGTCACATCACCAATTTTTATAATATGCTTGAGTTTAGGACATTGATGAGCTGACTCCAATAATATTGGCAGCTTGTTCTCATCACACATAACTAATGATAACTCAGCTGAATATAATTTGAAATCAAGTGTCATCGACAGATGTTTCTTAATCACCATAGTAACACCAACATTCTTAGTAAACATACCATGGTTAATGATGTAGATACATGCTTCAACACCTAAACTCTCATACAGTGGAACCGATACAAAGGAAAACATAACACAGGCTCTGTCCATTAACATCCACTAAAAATAAAATAAAACATTACAGATCAAAATATGACCAATCTAAGTCAAAAATCATAATGTGTGAAACCTCCAATTTGTTCACAGGATAAATGCCAAATGTCATTTCAGTTGATGGTTTATAGCCAAGTTCCATTATCCCAGATCCTAGAGCAAGTGCTTTTTGATGTACCTAAAATTTGGTCAAACTATAACTCATAAGGACTTCAGGCACTATAGATATAGTTTGTAGTAAATATGAGAACTACCTGATTGTGTGTTAACCATGAATATTTCCCATTAACTATCGTACCAAGATATGGCTGGTCACCTGTAGAGTGCATTAATAAATGAATACTTCATCAAATAACTTACAAAAATAAATAAACACAAAAATTAATTAACCAGAAATTTGAGTTCCTTTCTCATATGCTTCATAAACAGTAGTAATTCCTTGATATGACACCACCAACTCTTCTGAAAACAGAGATCTTTTTGCACCAGGATATTCCTATTCAAATAGAGGAAATTCATTAAAGAATAAAATATTTATTACATTTGCTAATGGAAGTTATTGTACACTGCGTTGCTAGGGATGGGAAAGTGAAAATAGTCTTATCCACATTCGCAATAAACACACGAGGCAAGTCCCCCTGTAGAATGTCTCTGGATTCATTTATCATAGAATGTTAAATGGGAGGGGGGGGGATTCATTTGTTTATCTTAAAAGGAAATGACATCACATATTGTGTAACACTCAACTAGATTTTAGTCACGTGACCAATGTACTCACGTTTTTTGTTCCGCCTTGTAAAAGAGCACATCACTGTTTTATGATTCTGTCTATGTTCGTTAAAACCTCTAAATCTAGCGTGATGAATAATGATTAGCAAACCTCTCATTAGGAAAATAGAAACTATGTACAATAGAAAGAGACCATTCTCCTTCGGTTAAACACGGATTGCGGGTTAAGATCAAAATCTTGACAAAATATTGTTTATTCGAATATCTCATTGTAGTCATTGGGGATTCTGTGAAATATAAAGTTCAATAGAGGTACGTTACAAGTTAAGATATATTTTGATGAATTTCTTAAATTTCTAGTTTCTTTTCTCTCTCTTTAAGACCAATTAAAGAATATAATCACACAACGGTTAATTTTCGTCTGTGATGTCCAAGTCGTAATATAAAATACAAATTGTCTTTGACTTATGTTCATCAAATACAATAAAGTTCTTTTTGTCTCTCAATAGTTGTAAATTGTGCTAACTTCATGCTGTATTTCTACACTAAATTATTGATGTAATGTCTAAAGGCTGAAACACACTAGACAGTCGCTTTAGTCGCGCGTTCAAAGCGAATTGATGCGCACGCGTCAGTTATATGAAATATATGTTATTCTTCAATATTCACAGGTAGACATATACTTTATGACGGAGATGTTCTTTGGTTTTATCGCTTTTATGTTTGCTTTCTCTTGGTTTTGCAAAAAAATCATAAATAAGTTCAATGAAGAAGAAAAAATGTAAGTTGTCTTAATTTCAATTTTATATCATATCATTTTCTCTTCCAAAATGCTGTATTGCAAACCTTAATTTCTCTTGGTTTATCGTTTTACCTATAAATGAACAATATGAACTCAAACATATTATCGCATTTGCACTAATATCTGCTTAAAATGCGATTTAAATGGATCAAATTTAATGATATAGTACCACAATATCCCTCAATAAATTATGTTGATCGTTATAGAACAACGTTAAATGACGATGAAAAACGATGGTGTGTTTATGGAATTGTACTTAATCATGTTTTAATACCAGCTGTTCGACCTTACCTGGAAAATAATATTTTAAATGAGTATAATGAATTAAAGAAATCTCATAAGATACATGTTCAAACAGCTCACAAATTTCCTTCACCAAAATATTCCTCCGATCTGCATTATAAAAATATCAACAATAATGAAACAAATAGTACATTTAACTATGAAGTTAAGTCACATGTCGACTTTGGAAAACTTTTCCTTCAAAACCACATGGCAAAGTTTAACAGTTATAACAGTTGTGACGCATCAGCAGTGCTTAATTTACTAGAAAGGATCCCAATTTTTTCCAACTCGGTCCAGAATGCGGCAAAACTCGTTAGAGATGATAGAAATTCTTGGGCTCACTGCAATTTTAAGGAATGGAACAAAACAGATTTTCAAATGAAAATCGAAAATATGAAGAAACTTGTGAAAGAAATGTGTTTAGCAACTGAAGATGAAGTTTTGAATGTTATCAATCATTGGAAAGATCAAGGTATATTTTTCATTATTATATCATTGAGTGGGTTTTATTAACGTTTTTCAGAACGTATGTAACAAAAATTAGTTATAACATCTTCATCTAAAACATCCCAGCAATATCGGTAAATCGGTATATCGTATATCGTATATTTAATATATTTTATCAACACCATTTTAATTACATTTTACAGCTTTGACATTGTGGACAAGCGATCGTACTTTATGTGAAGAGTTAAAAGATCACATTAAAAGACTTCTAAAAGAAGTTGAAGAGACGAAATTTGAAAACGAAGAGTACAAAAAGTTAGCGCAAGATACGCTTGACAAATTTTCGAATTTCATTGAAGAAATGGATCAGTTAAAAAGACGTGTTGAGAAAGTTGAAGACAAAGTTGATAAAGTTGAAGGCAAAGTTGATAAAGTTGAAGACAAAGTTGAGAAAGTTGAAGACAAAGTTGAGAAAGTTGAACACAAAGTTGAGAAAGTTGAAGGCAATATTGAGAAAGTTGAAGACAAAGTAGAGAAAGTTAAAGACACAGTTAATCAACTTCATCAAAGCAAAATTAATGGTATATTATTAAAACTACAAAATTTCAAGTGCAGACTTATAAATTAAACATCACAAAACACACTATTGAAAATTCTAAGCAAACTGAGCTATTGAAAAAATGTAAACAAATTGCAAAATGTTAACAATAAACCATTAGTGCTATATAAAGAAATGCATTAAAGAATGAAGACGCGATGTCTTTCAAACAAAACTTACTTTAACATTGTATTTTCATAGATTTCGCCAATTGTGACAGCGATATCGATTTACATTACCAAAAATTCGATCCAGAAACAAGAAAATGGTTGATCGAAGATTTCTCTGCTTGGTTCGAAAAACCTGGAGAATCAAGAGCTTTTGTATTTATGGGAGATGCTGGAGTTGGTAAAACAGTTATGTCAGCTACTATCGCTCAACGCGCTAAGGATGATGGGAAGTTAGGAGCAGCATTCTTTTGTAGACATTATGATGGTACACGTCGTGATCCAAGATCTCTCCTGGTCAGTGTTGCTTATCAATTAGGTAAATGTTTTCCTGATTATTTGAAATTATTGGGAGGGGTGTTTGGAATACAAAAACGACAAAGCGATACAAAACTAGGCGTTCAAGAACTTTTTACTAAGCTTTTCGAAGAGCCATTATATAAGTTTAAGACTTTTTCAAAAACTCTTATTGTGATCGATGCTTTAGATGAGGCAGATTATGATTCAGAAACTGAATTTCTTTATGTGGTAACTTCTCGTTTTCCTCAACTTCCACAATGGCTACTTTTCTTTATAACAACACGTCCAGTAGCTTACACGCAACTTACTTTGAAAAATTACAATCCATGTGTAAAGATTTGTTCAGCGGATGGAAATGATCCTCTGACTTATGAAAAACATGAACAAGATATTCAAACTTTTTTGCAAAATCAAGTCGACTTCACTGGTAAATCATTTTCTGCAAAAGAAATTACAAAAAAATGTAAAGGAATGTTTTTGTTTGCACATTATCTTGTCAAAACTCTCAAAGATTCATCTGAAACGGATCTTGAAAAATGCCCACAAGATATTGATGGTTACTTTCTTAATAATTTTAAACGTATTTATGAGAAAGTTGGAAAAGATTTCTATAAAAAATTGTTAGGTTGTGCAGTGGTTGCTCCTTCACCTCTTCCTAGTTCGTTTATTCCATTTCTTTTAAAAAAAGAAAATTTAGATCTTGACGAACAAGAAGTATTTGATGCTATTTCACTGTTTTTTTCTTGTGATGAAGAAAAATTCACGTTTCTTCACAATCTTATACCAGACTGGCTCACTGATGAAAGGCGCGCTTCGCGAAAGTTCGTAATAGATAACACAGAAGCAAAAATTTTCTTTCAGAAAATTGTCATCGAACTTTTGACATCATTCCTGGAAAATGGATTCAATAACTTATATAAAAACTCCCTTGTCTGTTACATCCTCAAAATTGAGTTTTGTTATCTATTTCATCTTTCAACTGAAAACTCTGAATTGTCGAGAATATTTTTTCAGTGTTTTACTAACTATCAGTTTCTCAAACAACGAATACAAAGCAGTACATCAGGTATTTTTTCCATTTTAAATGACATTCACTTTGCAATTGGAAATATTGAGTTAAAAGAAGATGAAAAACAAACTGTTAAGGAACTACAGTCTATTCTTAAAAATGACAGTTTTCATTTGGTAGATTACCCTGATCTTTTGGACTCCTGTCTTTCAAGGTTATCCTTGAAGGTCAGACAAGCATTTATATCAAAGCATTCAAACCAATGTAGATTGCCGAATATTATTTCAAATGACGACATTAATATTTTAAAAATTAAGTGTGACGTCTATGCTTATTCAACAGACAGAACTTTGTTGGCAGGAGGGAAAGAAAACGTTCTTTATCTGTTTGAAACATCTTTTTTTCAACAAAAATTTGGTCCCTTTCAGTTAAACGTGGACAAGATTCATTGCTTAGCATTCTCTCCTGACGACAAATGGATATTTTTTGGGACATTAAGATTCTGGTTTTCCGTAGACGAGAGAATGACAGTTGAGCAAACTCAATTTCCACAAACTGATACATTTTATAACTGGGCTTCTTTTATTGAACATGAACATGTAAATTATATAGCGGTAAGAGCGGAAAATGTTGAATGTCGACCTGATGATGAATGTATATTTTCCGTCACTTCTGAGAAATATCTCACTTCTTTCAAACACCAAATCTGGGAAGTCAAAACAGGGGATCATGTGTTCAAGCTCATGTGTGAAAGCGATCTTAATAATCAATGGAAACTGAATTCTTTTTTCTACATATGGCATTTTTTCCCATATACTCTTTATGAAGCGTTCCACCGTAAATTGTCTCCAAAAGAAGTTCTCTATAAATTCTCGGTAAATTTTATTTATGCACCTTATGTAAAAACCTGCGACCAGGGGATTTACTTTCAGAAACGTAGGTTCCTCCAGGGAAATATGGTTTGGCCATCTAATTTGAATTGTCGTTTTGAGCTTCTTAAAGATGAAGTATCGATTGTCAAGAATGACTCCGTTTTCATTCACAACATGCCAATATCTTTACATAATCTGATTTGGGGCGATGTAGTTTGTTTGTCTAGGGACAAAAATTGGTTGCTTCTTAAACATGAAGGCAAATTTCGTTTGTACAAATTTGATCATTCTCAAGATTGTACAAATTTGTTCATTCTCAAGATCATGACGAGGTTCACTTTGGACGAATGCTGAGATCATGATAGCTCAAGCTCCATGAAGGAAATTCAGATATATTTGGTTTTACGCATAATAACAACGCTATCATTTACAAAAATAGAAAAATCTTTTCGCTTGGTTTTGGATAGCAACAAGCAAAAGTGTTTCCAGATTTTCCCTTTGCTTTGTATGGACGAGAAGAGTTAAGTTTGTATTTCGATCGAATGGCGAAGAAAAATGATTTTTTACAAGACTTTCCTGCAGATTTTTAAGTTCTCAAACTTTCATGAAGACAACGTAGCCTTTTCCAAGTTAGAGATATTTGATGCAAATAAATGCACATTCTCTTATGATAGACGGTATTTTGTAAAATGTTCTAATTCTGAACTTAAAATTTTTTCCGCCGATTCCTCTTTCTCCACTTCTGAAATAGTTCATAAACTGAAGAATGGTGAATCAGATTTCCATTTTGTGTTGTTTTCTCCAGACTCGTCCTTGATTCTATTTTGCACCAATAACAAGGATTCTTGTCGTCAAACCATTTACGTCTGGTTTGTGAAAGACAAAGTTTTAAAGCTTTTCCTTCCTGAAAATTATTTGATAGAAGTAGACACTTGTTGTTCTTCGATGGATAACCGCATAATCATCTTATGTAGAGGAACATCAGTTTGGATATACGACTATGACTATGATAAAAAAGTAGCCAGTGAACGAACCACGCTTTCATTTCAACCAGATAGTAAACACGAGAAGTGTAGCCATTGTATTCTGTCGTCTGACGACAAAATGTTAGCTTGTTGTGTAGAAAATAGAATAATTTTTTACGAGTTGCTAAGTGCTCCTGAAAAAGCATCTCAATTTAAGCATTCATGCATGGTTAAGTGTTGCTATTTTATGGGAAGAAACAAATATGTTTTGTTTCAAGATATTGCAGGTTACATGTTCATGTTTGATCTGATTCAATGGAAACTTGTAGCATACTTTAAAGCCGATGCTTTAGTTAAAATTTTTAAACTTACTGATTACAAAATAACTTGTATCCAACCAAATGGTAAAATCAATTTTCTCGCTTTTGACGGTTTAAACGATTGTTCAGGCAAGGATTACAATCTACCTTATAATTTGGGTGTGAGCGACTTCGCACCTTTTACAAGCAGTGATGATGACGATTATTACATTGATAGTGAATTTTTGCAATTTGAAAGTAATGAAAGTGATGATGACGATTATGGCAATGATAGTGAATCTTCGCAATCTGAAAGTAATGAAAGTGATGATGAAATGGTTTAACAATGTAGCTTGTAATTTATGTGTGTTGTTAATTTCACTAAAAGTAATAATGAAGTCGACAGTATCACCGACAATGTGAAATGTCAGTTGAATTTATTTTGAAGGTCCAGGGTTGCATCGTTGAGATGTTACAAGAAATGAAAACTTTTGTCATAAAAACTCATTTCATTCATTTTTTATGTATGATGACTATAATCTACGCCTCCATCAAAGCATCGATGTTTTTCTAAAACAAATAGAAAAGAAAAAATTTGCTAAACGAATTTTCATAATCGTATCTTTACCACCTTGATAAGTGAGGGTTATTAAGAAAGCCAGCTTCTTTACCGGGGGGTGGCACAGTCATACAAACGAAATTAATATTTTGCGGTCAGAAGCAAATGTAGATAAATTATATCAACTTATTTGTTGACTTATTCAAATTTCAAAACATACCTTCACATTTTTATGAACGTATATTTTGAAATTAAGATTTTTCTGCTGGTTAAGTCCGCAAATGTTTGCAGTATATTGAATTGTGAAAATATGCCTCCCTCCATACTCCGCGCCTAAATCATCAACCTGAAACATGCAAAGTTGTTGATAACTTGATCATCTAAGGCAGGTTGCACGAACCTTGGATAGCGTTTATCCATTGGATGAAATAAATTTTCAGAAATTCCGTAATCTTAAAAACAATGTTTTGTTTCAGTGATTGCTTATTAGGAATCTTATAATTATTGCTTTCAAAACGTTTTATAAGAGTTAAAAAAATTGCTATCCAATGGACAACACTATCCAGGCTTCGTGCAAACGGCCCCAGTTCCCAAGTTTCTTAAATTTTCTGCCTTTTTCAATAATTTTTAAAAACATTTGCTTAAGAACGTCATCTTAAAATCAAACTTTTTGTGAAGATAACACAACTGTGTTGTGTAATAGTTGAGAATTCTTGATCTTAGAGATTGGGGAAAGTTATAATTCAGAGATAGAAATGTTATATGTTGTGTAAACATGTAAATTTGTGGTTCTATTTCAGAAAAACATAATG